TATGTTATTCTAGAATTTTAAAAAAATTAACATCCTTCATGAGCCATATGGAGATAAAATTAGTCACATTAAATTTTTAAAAACATCTGATATATATATATATATATGTTGAAATTACACAAAAATCTATATATTTAACGATGAAACTGTACAACTGAAATGTTGGCTATAGACGTGATGGAGCAAAATGTAAGGTAGTAATAACTAACCACGAGTCTTCAGCAATGTGCAAAATGGCAAAAAACACCTTTTTTCAGACTATAAGACACTCCAAACTACAGTGTACCCCGGAAGTCACACAAGTTGAATGCTATGATTATACATATTAAATTATAATTACAACATATGTTAAAAAGTGTCCCCCCACCCTGTTGTAGGCATAATCTGTTGATCATTAGAAGATCCAGTTTCATGAACATGACTTAACAAGTTGAAAAATGTTGACTTATGTGGTAGAGTAGCATCAGGAAAGTGAACCTGATATGCCTGTTTAACTGCTTCATATGACTGTCTGAAATTAATTTTAAATAAACATGCTACACTGTTGAAAATGGCATGCCTGTTACACAAGCAACTGGCTAAAGCTCAACAGATATGAAGAAACAGCAACAAACCAGCTTATCAGAATGACAAGCATCCAATGTTGTCACTGGGCATGGAAAATTTAAATTTCCATCATACTAATAAAATTTGAACCTTTAAAATTCAGGTTACATGACTTTCAGGGCACAATGGATAAAATTTAAGACAAATATGTTTTAATTGTCAGTACATAATATGGCTTTATCTAGTCTTAAATCACTGATGGTACCACATTCTAAAATGTACAATACTGCCATGTAAAACATCTCTGACTATAAATTTTATGCGTTCTTTGCACAAATTGCATGAAATGAACACATGATCAGAAGTGTGTGTCTGTAGATTTAACCTTTTAAAGTGCAGTAGTAACTGTGTGTCCCACTTGCTTTAACAATCAGTAACTCTTCTTTTGTATTTATGGGTTTTGTTTCTCAAAACTGCTTACAGCTCAAAACATTGGTGTATGTTGAAAACATAAAGGGCATAACTCATTAAGGTCTACAAATTCTGAATTTTTAATGAAATATAAGGAAAAATACTTTCAGAAATGTGATTAGCTTTCCAACAACAGGTGTTGAACATTAATATGAATGAGGTTTGTAAGACTAAAAAATACATTTTGAACATATAATGCAGAGCAGCTTTGCACTTTTGTATAGGAAAACTAGTTGTAACATCAAAAGTAGAGCTGCTTTTCTAGCTTCAGTAACATTGTTTTTTATTCCCTTCTTCCCAGGTTCAAATATTAATGTTTCACACATTATAGCTACAGCTGTTTTCTGATGTTCCTGAAAAGAAAAGAAAAGAAAAAGCCTCCTGCTTATCACCAAATCACATTCTTAGTTGTATGAAGATCAAATGGTCTTTCAGCTACTTTGTTTCAATGTTCTTTTATATCACCTCAAGCTGTGTCTTGCAGTCCAAAAACATTCTACTGTAACATGATCAATATTTTGCAGTGATTGCTGGTCTACTTACAGATGTGTTTTAATAGGTCTCATCTTCATCTTCATCCATAGCAAAGTCACTACTGAATCCAGATTCCAGTGGATAGATAGGGCTGGTTAATATATAAAAAAACCCATTATATATTATCTGTCAGCAATTTATTATATTATCTGTACAAATAAACAAACATGAAATTAAATAATGTTACTACCCCAACTGGATAATCATCTGGGATGCTCCCAAAATTCTTGAGCTACTCCAAATGGCAGTAATTTTGAAATGAAATCATATAATTGTATATGATTTGCAATTTATACATGTCAAACATTTGAGGTCGTCGATGTGGTGAAGATATCAATTGTGGTCTTCTGAGTTGTGACATGTAGTTTTGTAGTGCTTCATAGAAACTTATCACCTCCATCTTCAGGACTGAAATGTGTCAGGATGAGGATGTGAGGCATTTAAATTGGAAGAAGAGTCAATAGGAATGGGGTGAAAAGATAGGTGGCCTTGAGAGTCTTGCATGTGCGACGACTCTCTCATATGGAGGCCATAATGAGAGCTGAGGAACAGTGGTAACTAGTAAAAAGAAAAGAATAAATCTACAGCAGTAAAGCTAAGAATGGTAAAAGGAGAGTGTGTGACAAAGGAAAAAGGGTCAGCAGACATGGTCAATGGGAAAGACAATATAAATGAAGAGGCAGCAGCCAATGCAGATGGAGACCATTAAAAGGGGAGTTTTCTAAGAAGGTTCTACAGGGGACATTTCATGTAAGACCCTTATCAAGACTGTGGGCAGAGGAAGTGAGCGGAAGCATGTGTTGTGCGTTTTGTGACAGCCTGCCTTTAATCCTCCTTTTACACCACTCTTTATCACTGGTTTCCCTCAGGCCATTCATTGTTCACCATAGTGCACTTGCTTATTAGGGCCCCTGTGCAAGATACATTTCTCTGTGGAAGGTACAGAATGTGCCATGGTGGTTAAATATAGATTTAAATGGCATATATGAGCCATCTGAATAAGATGAAGGAAAATGTTAGGTATTCTTCACACTAATGGGGTTTGAACTGAAAAGGTTTTTCCTGTAAAGTATATGACTCAAATCTGTTTAATATATAAATAGGGGTTATGTTTAAAAAAGATTGTAACTCCATGCTTCTTATATTATTTCATACTTACTTAATAGCTCTGCAAGTGAAAAATACTATACGTTTCATCTTCTTATTATAAAAGAAATAATTAAAGGACCAAAGGCACCCATCTTCACCAAATGGATCTGATGCAAGATCAGGATTGTAACTGAAAACAAGGATTCACCATTAGTTACAAGTTTCAACACATTCTACAGATATATTGTTTTCTGTGATTTTGCTTCACACTAGTTTTGGATATTCATTTATTAAAGATACTACTGTAAAGTAAAGTAAGTAAAGTTTGTCCCACTATACGCCATGTAGGCGTTTGGGGGGAGTGGAGGTATAGCTCCTCTCTTCCTTGACCTCGGCACTAGATGGGGGTGAGTGGTCAGCATCACGCCCCGGCCGGCTTTACCCCCGGGAAAGGACCCCGGTACCCACGGCTCATAAAGATACTACTGTTGACAGAGTTAATAAATAGTACAGACAGTAAACTCCGTATAGGTTTCTCTTTGTTTTTTGTTAAAAATAAACCAAAATGAAAACAGTGTTTCAAATGAGTTACAGGTATTAAACAGATGTATATTTTGTCAAGTACCTATCTTTTTAATGTAATTTCTGAGAAAGTGGAACATGAGACTCATACTTAATTTAAACTTGTCAACTTTAGTACTCCAACACAACATTTCATCAAAGTCTATTAAATAGTTCTAGAGATGAAACCTGACTAGACAGGCATGACCTTCAGTTTTCTTGTTGTGCAGACTGTCATATGACCCACAACAATATACTCACCTATAGATGTCACAATCATTCATAGAGATTTCATCATCAACAGCAGCCCAGAGTTGGGCTCGCATTGCACGATACTGTTCACCAGCTGTGGCACTCAAGTTGCTGTCCACAGTGTTCATCACCCACTGTTGAACATCATCAACTTTCAATGTCTCCACTTTAAAAATTCTAAGAATGATGAATTTTGGTTAAGTATTATTCTATGATTTTTCTGGAGCCAATGTGATTACCCAGTTAATTTAAAAATGCTTCTCTAATACTGGAATTGATACACAACATAACAAAAGTAGCTTTATTTCTTTTACCTCTTTTTTTATCCAGTCTCTTCTAAACCAGATTTACAAAAGTAACTGACATAAACATGGTAATTCTGTGTATTGTCCATTGTCTAACCGAGTAGGAATCTTCCTTCCGTTACGTAACGGAAACATCCAGTTTCCAAAATAGTGTTTGAAAAAAGCTTATGATTTAACAACATTTATATTTAGTAGTAAATGGATTTATAAAGGGTCAAGCAATTCCTTTAGACCTTCAGGAATAAGGCTTTTATTTTCATTATGTAGCATTGTAGCTTTAAGTTATTGGTATTAATTCATACAAAGATATGTCCTTTGAACAAGACTTTTTCAGCACTGCTAGGTAAAAACTGTACTACCATTTCTTCAATCAGCATTGTGATTCCTCAAACCACTATGTAACTGTATGCCAATAGATCAATACATGGTACAGTCAAAATCATGAACTTTTGCAATACCACCAAATGACAGCTATTTTGTCTTCACATCTGGGCATATTCAGATACGTAGGGAAGGCATAGGCAAAGATATGTTACGATGCCTACACTCAGTATACAGACAGTGAGAAAGACACCAAGGCATACTTGGTCTGGTGAATTTTATTTTCAGATCTTGGAATACCAGCATGTCAATATGAAAAGTGAGTGAACATTGAATTTTGTGTATGACTGGACAAGACATTTTCATAATCATCAGGGAAGCCTAAAGGAAGAAAGTAAGGAGCCACGCTACAGTGTTCAAATGATATGTGTTTCAAAGATGACTGACAATAACTGAATGAAGACCCAAAATGAGACAATTGTTACTGTTCCAGATATCATTCAACAGGTACACCAAATCTGCCTTGTTATAAAGAACTTTCAAATACACTGTTATGAATGTAAAATACTTATCTGCCATCTTTAAGAATCAAGTACTTTTAATGCAAAAAAAAAAAATTCTCATTAAATTGAAGTAAACTACTTCAATTTCTTTTGTGCACTGTAAAAATATCGCATATGCTCTACTCTCTTTTATGTATGTGGATTTTAGTTCTGAGTTCAAGTTCTACTAGTACGCATACTTTCCGAGGCCAAAAGTGATTCATGGATAAAATGGTACGGGAAACACCATACTAGGGTATACTCATTGACACAAATATAATTGCAAATGCATGCACTATATTTTCAATCTTGCATATAATTAATATAGTGGTTGTGTACATGTTTACAATTCAGCATTATGCTGCAAAATTACACTAACCTGTGGTAAATCCTTGTTTAGAAGTCAGGTTGTGTGGAAATACAATGTTATTAAATCCCTCCCAACCATCACACCAAAATGCTAAAGTATGTTAATAACAACAGTATGCTTCTGTTATGTTATATATTTAATATTTAGTTTCCAGTTTTAGTGATCTAGTGGTGCACTACAAATCAGAATGGAGCATTCACCACTGATAACCTCCTCTGGTGATAATGGCAGCTGTTTGAGCTGAAGGATTTTTTTTGACAGTCGTATGAATAACATATACCTACATATATAGAAGGATGGAAAAAGTAATAACATTATTTTAAGACAGAGTTATTTTAACCAAAGCTTCTCATACCTGCAGACTGGGCTCTTTACTGAACTCATGACTTTTTGCATCAGAAAAGTCATAGTCAGGGTGAAATGCTGCATTAAGTGTGGCAATGAGGTAGAATAATGTCTTGCGGCTGATGGTGTCACACAGCGGGCCATCCTCATCACCAGAAATACTCCTACTATAAGCAAATGAAACTACATAAACTGGATACAAGGGAAAGGTTGACAGAACATACATATGTGACTGCCAGGACACTTGCAATGAACTCTCAGTGCAAACCAGACTGATGTAAGGTGTTAGTCATTATAATGACACCAACTACAGGGATAAGCAAAGTTCTTTTATATCTCTCTGTAACATAAACAAAAATGAAAGATGAATTCTGTACCCCTCGTCATGACTTTGTCTAAAGAAGAGTTCACTCATCACTCTCACTGTATAGTGTACGAGTAGTTCACTTACATAGAACATTATACTTAAGGCCAATGCTTTCCAAATGTTTTCAGTTTGTGAAGCACCTGGACATCAAGATGCTCTTGGCATAACACCAAGAAAATTAGATATCTTATGCCACCATACTAAGCCAGAACAATTTTACTTGAAGAAAACATGACTTCATATTATATTATAGTCTGTACATCTCAGATGATGATAACCAATTACCGGTAATAATAATTAATTAAATTCTTTATTATTAGTGCCAATGACAGATACAGATATTTCATGAAACCAGGTGACTATCATGAGGTCTTGCTAGGTAAGATACTGTACTTTGATGTAGTTACAGGCTAATAGCAGATTAAAAGAACGGGTGCACAAAAGGTCAGTGTACAATTGTAGTGCAAGGGTCGGTTTGGCATCCACCCCATTTACATTTTTTCATTCACGTGGTAATTACTGAACTACAATGAAATGTACTGAACAGTTTGTTACAGAAGTTTCTGTTTCAATGACAACTGCCACTTAGGTGAAAAACAGTTGGACAGATGGCTTTTATGTATGAGATAAGAAAAATGTAAAACAGACAATTCAGTTCATTAACTATGTTTTTCTGTGAAGTGGGGAAAAGACCAACAACTTCAATGGTGGAACACTCCATCCAGCTTGTGAATTGTGGAAACAGTGTGTAAAGGCACAGAAATTCTGTGTACTCAGTTTAAAAAATTTACATCACAATCCAAGACTGTGATACGCAAACTGAAGTGGGAATTTTCTTTCTTCTGGCTTTAGAAGGCATCCAAAATACAGTCTTTATAACTAATACTGATGATTTAAATAAGATTTATATATAAATTCCATGGGTGAAGAAAGGAGACTGACTGTGAAGAGGATGTGTAAGGCAGCACAGACTTAAGAAAGTTTCAGTAACCAGCTAACAAGTTAGCTGGTGTGTGCAATATAACAAATTCCTTGGGTTCACCAGAATTTGACCTCTGTGAATAGTATCTGTGATGTTAAGAGTTGTGTGAAGTCATTAGCCTTTGCAAGGCAAGTTTGCCTGGTTGGATATTGATTTCATCACTAATGATTCCCCACACTGTGCAGCTGACTGCGATTCCTCAATGTCCACAGAAATGTGTGTAAGCCTTCATTTTAATTTCCCATTCTTGTTGCCCAATTTTAACCAATATAGTGTGTAGGCTATGGGCCTGGATGACCAAGATTTTTGTCTTTACCACAGTATCCAGACTGGCTCTGAGGTGACCTCATATCGAACAGGCACCAGGGTTCTTTCCTCATGAGGTATAACAGCCAGGGTGCAAAACTATCCACTCACCTCCATCTAGTACCAAGGTTAATGATATGTGGAGATATACATCCACTCCCCTATACATCTGCATGATGTGGTGCTTAGTTAAGCACCAGGAACAACTTTTCCTTTCTTAATGACAAATTTCAGTACAACTTCAATGTACTGTGTCATGGCACATGCGGTTAGTCACTGGCTTCTCACCACAGACACCTGCGGTCATTCCCTGGACAGTCCAAGAGGGATTTGTGGTGGACAAAGTGACACTGGAACAGGTTTCTCTCTGAGTACTTCGGTTTTCCATCAATATCATTCCACCAATACTCCATATTCACCAATGAATCATGTGGGGGATGGATAATGAGGCTGTTAGTTGTTGCAGTTCTATAGGAACAGTCTCTCACCATAATGAAAGAAAAATAAAATTTCATACAAATCGGCCACCTTTTCTTGAGTTGTTGGAGGTAATCAGACAGAGAAAGAACTGGTAAGCAAATGACAATTAATAAATATGGGCAAGAAGGGGGTCATTTATGCAGATGAGATATACATCCATACTGTCTCACAACTGAAGTCATGAGAATGGAAGCATTTATTGTCCAAATAGCAAAATAACAGAAAACATAACTGTTCATACAGTACAGCATGTCTTTTAATGAAACTGTAGCAACTACCTGTGTTAGACAGATATAAATGAAGCATGAAAGGACAACAACTTGTTGCCAACCATCCACTGAATCAATAATCTATTTTCACATCAAGACTGTCACTATTGACTCAAGTCAGCATGGTGTTTTAGTCCACATATAATTAAAAACATTCTACCTACAAGTTATGTAAGTTGATACCCAAGAAAGTTTATACATTTTCTTAGTATTTGTATGCCTACTTGTTTAGTTAAGCTTGAGACACACTTTAATTTATACCATCTGTAAATATGATGGTATTTTTTAATACTTCATAGCATGCCATTTTCATAGGAGAGAGGGGTGCATTTTCCAGTTCAATCAAGCAGTACTATGCAGCATTCAAGAAAGATAGGAAGGAAATCTACAAAGAAACATTCTGGTCTAGTTTTCAAATGACTGCTTCTTTTCTGTGCTTCACATGAGCTACAGAATCAGAAATCTTGTTTTTATCAAGTGTCAGTAACTGAAAATGTGACATAATCTTACACACACGAATACCGGGTTTTCTTCAAGTATATACCTGTACTGACACCTTCCAGGTGAAAGCCCCAAGGCTGTTTGTGGTGGTGATAATGCTTGAAGATCATGTGGTGTTACCCCTTGTTCAGAATTAAACCGTTTATAAAGCTGTTTATCATTACCAGCCATTTTACAGGAGTAGCTTTCAATTCTGAAATGATATTTCAGAGAAAAATTAAAGAAAAATGTCCATTCACTGTTGACCAGACCAGTTTAAAATTGCAAATTAAAACACCCTACCTTCCAAATATTTTACTGTCGCCTGTTTTTATAGAGAGTGCACTGTTAATAGCTTCAAAGCGTGTACTTTCCAAGAGCTTCATTCTCAAATATCGTATTTTTAATAAAGTAGTCAAATAATCAACGCTGTTTCTAGCTTTCACAGGACCACCAACTAATATTAATGGTCAATCAGCATAAGAATTAAAGCTTGTGTTAAGCCAAAAGTTGTTAACTTTGTCGAAAAACGTCGTGTCAAAATTAATAACTTATACTGCGTAAACGTGTTTGATAATTTATGGCTGAAAAGTTTCTGAACATTCTATTTGGATGTCGAAAAACCCCTTTTCGCCTTGAATGTACGAGGTTAAAAGAAGGAATCATTAGCGATATTTCTCTATACACTTCTCCTTCAATGGTGTCGATAGTGCACATTACAAACTAAGCCCGATATGCAAAAGTTCTTCCAACAATAACAAACAAGCGCTTAGGAGTTGGTGTTTATAAACACTGCGATCAGGCAAATAGCGTCCTAAACAAAATAGACCTTTCGACTTGAAGGTCGCTTACGAATCACTCTTCACAGTTCAGAAATATCGAACTTTCACAAGATACTTCAAGTGTAAATCAAAGATCACAATACTGCATAATAGCACACATAATTACACGTATTTATGGCAATTTACAAAGACTATAACAAAATTAAATATTTTGACAATGACAGAACTCCAATGGCTTCTTTTCGATGCAACTGTCTTTTTTTAGACATCGAGCTAATCGGCAGTATCACCAACTGCAATGTAAGATAACTGTTTACCTTCATCCAAGCTGCATGTTATTATAGTCGTAAAATTTTATGTGTGTCATTTATTTGAGCGAAAAATACATATGTTTAAGCATTTGTAACTTATTAAATGATTCTTAACTTCAGCTAAATACTTTCAGTGTAGGTTCATATATTTTAATATTTGTAGGGCACCTCCTGCCTGATCTTGCTGTTGGTAGTGTTTCTGACACCCATGTACGATGGAGCGTGGAAGGGGAGGGTCTACGGTTTTAGCGACATTTGCATAAAGGATTACTACATCTACCTAGCATGTAGGGCATGAAGTATAAGGGCTGCAAGGTGTGTGTGTGTGGGCAGGTTGCCAAGCTGAGAATAAAGTAAGTGAGCTGAGGTATTGTTATGAGTTGAAACTAAATGGGTTTTACAAAATGTGTTATAGGAAAAATACTAATTAATACCAGATTTAAAATTTGAAATTGCGTTATCTTAGCGTGTGTATTGTTTAAATTGACAATAATAGATTAGACTTTACTTGGAATCAGATATGCATATATTCAGGTACTTAGGTGGGCCGTAAGATATGGCCCTGAGTGTTCCACCAATCGAGTGAATACTGCTCAATAGTCTCACCGAACTAGCTGTAATTTGCAAATTGTCTGGTTACATTCTCAGTAACATAAAATGCATGTTTCTGGGGCATGAGAGTGTATCGTTAAAACAGTGGAAACAAGGGTTGAAATATCTGTCTGTTCTTATTTCCCAGAAATATCACTGGATAATTTAAAACACTGACCAAATAAATTTAAAATTTAATATATCTGTCTTCTGGGTTGTTGCGCAGTGTAGTCTGGTCGATGTTTACCAACGTTTCTGAGGTCATACTGCCTCCGTCATCAGGGTGGCAGTATGACCTCAGAAACATTGGTAAACATCGACCAGACTACACAGCGCAACAACCCAGAAGACAGAAATTTTCATACTCACCGCTGTGAAAACTATGTAATATTTACAGGCAGGATGGGTATTGGGAATTGGACTCTGCCTTGTAATTGAAAACTTTAAGCTGTAAAAGAAAATTGGCAACAAAGTAGCAGTATAACATTTCGATATTCTTTCATTTGCATTAGCTTCATGCTAATTTACCTGTCTTCTTTTCCAGGGATTTTAGTTCAACAATAACACCATAACAGACTACATGCAAGAATGGATTCGTGGCTGTTTCGGCCTCCGGTTCTGGTTGGGGAAAGAATTGTGTGGCTAGGTAGTGGAAGTGGTTTGCCACAGTGTGGCATGGTCCGCTGGATAGGCAAATTGCCAGAGATGGGTTCTGACTGGACCGTTGGTATTGAGTTGGTTGGTATAATGTACACTTATAATTCATTCATATTGTTGAGGCAGCTACAGGACCAGATAATACACACACATTTTCTCCTATGGATGTCTACCAAGCTTTGAATAGTTTTTCATTGGCTTATTTTTAATGAAAAAAATTCTAATCATTGGTTGAGATCTTATCTGTTATGTAAATTATCTGTTAAATTTATTCTCATTATACTTTTATCCTTGTGTCCCCCAACTGCTAGTTAAATGTATAGCTGCAACATGATGTTGTTTCACCTCATTTTGGTCCACAAGTCACACAGTACTTGAATTAATGCTATGGAAATTATTGGCTTAGTCATAGAGGTCTGCTTGCCTGACTACCCAGATCACCAGACTTGACACCTCTTGATTTCTGTTTGTGAAAATACATGAAGGGCTTATTGTTTCTGGAGAGATCATTGATATGAGATGAACTCATACAATGGATGGTTCTGCTGTCATAATCTGCGAAGCATTGTGTATTTGTACGAGATATCAAGCTTTTTACAGTATGGCAGAGAAAAATGTTTTCACCGTGAAGAAGACAACCTTCTGGGACATTGTGCCATATAGTCTTCTAGAAGTACGCTGATATTTCAGAAGTGCTTTATTCCTCCATCAGAGTGATGAATAACTATCTTTGTACTTGCCACTGTGAGAAGCTGAAATCTCTCAATTCTCTGGCCAGGTCCAGTTTCTGAATAGATTAGTCAGTTATTTTTAAATTTTATAATGTTCACAGTTTTGAGTCTCGGAGCTTCGGAATCAGATTTCCCTTCATAAAAATGCACAGGGTTTTGTGAAATTGTTCTCCTTCCCCCCCCCCCAACCAGTCACTGCTTTCTTTATTGCCTTCCACAGGCCTAAGACCATGTGAACCCTAAACTGCTTGATTACTGAGATTTTATTATTTTCATTTTACCTTCAGCTTGTTAAATATTATAAGCAATCACATGATTTTTTAGCACTGCATGATGTCAATTGAGGAATAAAGAAATTTACTCAGGTGGACAGTGAATTACATTCAGTTGCATGCTTCTTAATTCCATTGTATGTACATTGGACTAAAATGCATTGCCTGTGGTTTTCTTCTCAGGATAATCCTTTGCCATATGGAGGTGTAGATGGTACTTGGGGGAGCAGACATCTCTTCACATGTGAACCTAAACATGGCCTTCTTGTTCCAATCAAAAAAACCATCAAGGAGTGTGACTTGTACCAGTGGTCAAAAGAGAACATAGGTAAGATGGCCATTCAGCTTTGGCTAATTATTCTTAGTTATGTGTTCTATATTATATATATGTATGACTACACTTAGCATGTGAAATTGTTTGGTAGGTCTGCTAATTTGCAGCAGTCCCTGCTGCATTATACTGGAATATTTGTTACTTGTACGAGGTGTGATTGGAAAGTTTCAAGACTGTGTCAATAGAGGGCGAACCGGATGTAGTACGAGCTTCTGCCGCTAGGGGGTGCAGCCTACATTCATAGTGAATCAGTGTGCCAGCCGGCATCATCGAATTAGCATTTGTTTCTTAGTTACGGGCGTTTTGGTAGTGCATTACACCGACCCTCCTGCGATTTCGGAATGGCGTGTGCATCAAATTTTGCCAAAGACTCGCCAAAACGGCTACGGAAACCTATGAAATGCTAAAGCAAGCATTTGGGGAGTCCGCAATGGGTCGTGCACAAACTTTTGTGAGGCATTCGGCAGTTTTTGGCCTCAAACACTATGGCCGTCATCCCGCACCCTCCTTATTCGTCGGATTTAGCTCCGTGTGACTTCTTCCTCTTCCCCAAGATGAAAATTCAGCTAAAGGGAAGGAGATTTGAGACGATAGAAGAGATTCAGGCAGAATCGCAGATGGTGCTTGACAGGCTGACAAAGAAAGATTTGCAGGGATGCTTCCAGGCTTGGCAGCGGCGCTGGGATCGTTGTGTTCACTCCCAGGGGAACTACTTCGAGGGTGATGGATGAATTTAATACCTGAGATAAGTGTATGGGTTTTTATAGGCGCAGTCTTGAAACTTTCCGATCGCACCTCGTAGTATTTCTATGTCACCAAAGAAGTTTATTTCAAGTAAGCACCACAATATGCCAGCTTTAGCTCCTGTCAAGTTACTACCAGGTGCAGCCTGGAATAGGTGAATCTAAGTGAAGAACATATTAGCAAAATCCATGTTGAGAATTCAGTCCCAGCTTTCCATTCTGTAGTCTGTTGTTTTACTGACTGAGCTATCATTTCTTCCAAACAAATATGATATTATGGAATGTTTCAAATAAGAACAATATGATTTAATATCATCTTGATTTGAATTTAATTGTATAAAATATATGTCTCTTTCGAAATGTTTGTTGTAACATCTATTTATTATCGGATGAATAATTTAGTTGTTTCTGACAACTTAAGGCTTCTGAACTTCTTATGAAATTAATATTTTGCATACAGATCATAGTACAGGTAGTCCTCGATTTACACCAGTTTAATTTGCACCGGTTCAGAATAACGCCAATTTTGAAACCAGCAAGTCAAAAAGTGAAAAAAAAATTTTACTATAATTTGTAATGTTTTACAATGCTTCTCGTACTGATTCTTATATTAAATCGTAATTCTTACTTCGCTGATTTTGAATAAAAATTATAAATACAGTCATCTCTGCAATTAAGTATGTTTCGTTTATGCGAATTTGCTCCAATGAGATCGATGAATCGGTAAAAGCTGTTTGTGAAATGCAAACTTTTTCATATTCGAGTTTGCTCTTATGTAATTTCATTCCTGGCGCTTTAAACTTTCAAAGAACTAATTTAATCTCTGCGGAGTTACCAGGGTTATTTTTAGTACGCGATTTTCTATAGGTCGGCGTCTTACATGAATGCAACTGTCGCATAACAGCAGAGATGACTGTACACATCAGTCACATGAAAGAATCGCAGTAAATCACGGGGACCAATGAATTGCCGATTGTAAGTGTATAAAATATATATTTTTAAATTCCCTTTATCTTATTTACGTTATTTCAGAGCTTTAAATGTAAATGCCATTATATTACTCGTCAATGTTTGGGTGCTGGGAACGCGTGTCATTGACTTCCCATTGATTTACATTATAAAAGAGTTTCAATTTATGCTGATTCCGTTTATGCCGGTTCGTCCAGGAAAGCATCCCCTGCGTAAATGAAGGGCTACCTGTAATCATAGTGACTTTCAGCCTGGTCGCAGCTTATGAGCGTGAATGAAACACCCTTTTATGCGTATCCATTGTGTGATGTCTGCAGGTCCACACCTGTACACTGCAATCATTCAGTCAGTTTGTTACAACGTATGACCACAAATACTGTTTTTGTTTTGAACAGTGACTTTAATTTATAAGCATAAAGACTAAACATGAATTTATATCTCCTTTAGCCTACTGGAAAAATTGTGACAGGACTTGCTAACCTATTTGACAGTATGGTATTATGAAAGAGGCCCTCTGAAATTGTGAGATGAAATTGCAGATAAATTTATGCTGGTATATTGTCAGACATTTCAGATGGTGAAACTGATGAGTTCATAATTTAGTAGTGCAGTTAGTGATGAAGAGGGCCTAAGTGCAAGTAGTGATAAACACCACTGAAATGCTTTAAGTGATTCTGATTTTGAATAATTTTATCAGGTCACTTTCCTGATAACACAGACTGTACATGTACCATAGTGGACTGCACACTGACAGGTGGGCCATTTATTGGACAGGTGGTAGTAAATACAATGTGGGAAAAACTAGACACTTTCTGTGGTTGTGGGGTCTATACGTAAGTGCTGATGTTGTTGCAGTTTTTACAGAAATAGTCAAATGTGTGAGGATTCTGCAAAATTGCTTAAGTAGTCAGATGTAATGGAATTTGTAATGATTTTTTTTTGGGGGGCGGGGGGCTGTTGATGAGTCAGGTAGGGGAAACAATAACAAGACATTGGCTGGCAGATCCAACAATAACCACATCTGTATTTCTATAAACCATAACTGTTCTGAGGCAAAGTGGAAGGCTCGGCACTTCAGCAAGAACTTGGAAAATACACAGTAATCCAGCAGTCTTTAAAATTTATCCTATTTATAAGGAGTGGAAGGGAGGTCATAGTGGAATGGTTAGGCCATCCAAGTTTAGCTGCTACATTCAAGGAAGAAGAAAAAAATAACAAATACAGCCATGTATTTTTCCACTTCGCCTAATAGCATGGAGCAAAACTACAATATAAATATGAAGAATATGTGCTTTTCCTGAAATTTATATTGTTTTTATTTTGCTCAAACAAAAGGAAAGTATTAAAAGTAGTCTAACAAGTCAACCTATATCTTTACATATACAAATCAACCATTTTTACAGAAGTCACACTTGTAACTGTCACCAAGTCCTGAATTATCTGTAGAAGCCTTGTGAATCCATTCCTGACACATACCACAATCAGTACAGTCCTCTGTGGGAGGGTGCATGCACTTCTCTCCACAAGACAGACAAAATATTTCTCTTCCATCAGGTCCTTGTACACCTGTCTTTCTTGATCACATTGATTCGGTGTTATTAAAATACTACCTGAATTCCAGATTTATCTTGCCAACATAGAGAAGGACATGTTCTAGTTTTGTATTCAGTAACCATTTAAAATTACCTATGAATAGCACAAGTAATTTTAGAGTTGTCTTAAGTTAGTGGTATTTAAAGAGGTAGAGAATATGGTGCCTGACTAGTTGCTTAGACTAAAACGTAAGGGATGCCCGACAAAAAGGAATTACTTGGGGATAGATCCAGGGAATAATATTGTGCTAGAATGTTTCAGCTTGAGACCTGCAGCAAGCTTTGCAAGTCATGGTAGTGACAGCTGCATTTCACACCTTTCCATGTAAGAATGCCACATCGTTAATAATGGCATGTGATAGTCAAGCATAAGAGCATCCTGACCGCATTGTTTGATCTTCCATGTTGGTTGGCAGACTGCCAGTTGGGATTAAGTGTCATTAAAGAATGTGCGTCCCTCTCCCTTTGCTAATATTGGAAATGGTTAGTGGACAGCAACACATGCTTGTTCATCACATGAGGAATTCAGTTCTTTCAGATTATTCTTCCCCAGGTGTTTGCTGAGGATACAAAACACACTTGATGATAAGGTTCCTACTTCTGCTGCATTTGCATTTGAGCAGTGCACAATGTGCTGATATACATAGCATCAGTCACAGTTTGCGCATGACTGGAGAGAGAGTACACTGTCTTCCCATCATGTATTATGGCATTCATCTACCATCTTAACAGTTTAATATGACTGATGTGGGTCCAAGTCTTCCTTTAATGGACATTTTTCCCAACTTCCCTACAACTTAAGTTAGCTTCCTCACTTTTTCTCAGTTACTAGTTTACCACTTCGTGAGCACACAACCTGCTGTATTCAGTACACATTGAAGGGAAATTTTCTTGCACGGATCATTTTGGGCCGATGAATATGGAATTTATGAAATGCCCTGCACACAATCTGAATAAAGTATACAATGACGTACTGGCATAAAATATACAAATAATTCCATGAAGTGTATTTCTTTTTCAAAAGCTGATAATTGCTCAGCTAGTTTTTTATGTTTTATTTCAGTGTTATTTTTGTAAGCCTTCCAAATGGTCTCTTCTCTTTGAGTTTTCTGGAAAAAAAAAGTATTTTTCATCTTTTCCATTTTCACTACATAACTGTACATCACATCCTTCTTGATTTGATCATCCTGATAATATTTGGTGAAGAGTATAGATATATGAAAACTACTTGGTGGCTTATAATGGTCATGGCGGAAGTCTTGCCTACACACCATACTGAAAACATCTCAATTTTCAGTTCTAGATAACTGTTTGAGTTATGCTGTATAATCTGTAGCATGAGTTATGTAAACATTATATTTCTGTTTTAAATTGTCATTTTGTTGTCAAAGATTATACTTTTAATCATGTAGTTCACAACTTGAAGTTTAATGTGTTTTGTGTGAGCAATAGAATTACTATCAATTTTGTAGGATTGTGATGTCACCCAGATTCCAAGTTATTTGCACATGTCTGTGCAAATTGTGAAGGTTCTCATTGTGTAGTTTTCTTCTTCCCTCTTAGCTGCTAGTGTTCTTTTCAGCACCCTGAATTCTTAGGAGAATATTTGTATCAAAGCCAAATTTGAAAACTTTAAAAAAATGTTCTCTTTTAACTATGTCCAGACTGCTTTCAGACTCGTGCAACGTTGTGTCATATCCAGTGTTTACCAGGGGATTCTCTGTTTAGAAATAAAATTACCAGAGTGTATAGATGTCTGATCACCCCTGTTTAATGCGTAAGTGTGGGACACACAACACTTTAACTTCACAGCCTCTACATTTTCGTGTGTTGGTGTTAAGCAGAGGGAACAACTTTTTTATCTTTATTTTCTCTTGAAAGTCACTCTAAGTAGGTAACAGTTGTCAAGCAATAAAAGTTGTTAAGTTGTATAAAATTACTAATTTTTGTGTTTATATGGCAAATTAATTTTGAAATAATTTATATTATGAATCACAATTGCAAAAAAGTTATGGTGTATTTATATTCAAGAAAAGCTAAACAGATAAAAAATATATCAGTTTGTTGTCCACTACTCATTTAATTTTCAGAATTTTGTCAGACATTCAGCATTTTATCCCTGAATATTCACATATGGTTGCCTCTAAATTGTATACTGCAAATAATAAGGGAGTTTGAGGTGTTTGGATTGTGTAGAAAAGCTAGGGTAAATGTTGGTCCAGAGTTTTTTTATTTGCAGATGATTAATACCAGTTTGCATATTTCCACCTCTAAAACAATTTAAGAGATTTTGATAAAACTCACGTTTGGGAGACTATACTAAAATATGTGAATTGATTAATTTAATTTTGGTTTGTATTTATCCAATACATTCTTCGCTTTAAATGCCATTCATATATGATCAGCTATTTTTAGATTCCAGTCTGAGTTCCATGTAAAAGTAAGTTTGTTTTGGAACAAGTCAGACCAAAATTAAATTCACCAGACAGCATTAATGTATACTGTGAATATCAAGTTCAGTCAGAATCTGAGTGTTTTGGAGATGAAACAGATGGAACTGACAAAAGATTTCATGGATGCATTTTAGGACTGAATGTTGCTTGGACCTTTGTGATACAGTGAGATGCCCAGAAGTTCCCCTGTAATTTATTGCATACCATTCAGAAATACCCATTGTATTTGTGTGTGTACTTAGATATATACATAGGTATGTATGTGTGTATATATATATATTTTTTTTTTGTACCGTCTAAGACGTTGGTTATTTTTTACTGTGCAATTTCTTAACATGAAATGTTGATGTTACAGCACTGTAGAACAGATATGACTTTGAAGATTCCTGTCTTCTGGGTTGTTGCGCTTTGTAGTCTGGTCGATGTTAACTAACGTTTCAGTGGCCATACTGCCACCGTCATCAGGGTGATCGCAATAACCCAGAAGACAGAAATATTCATACTCACCGCTGTGAAAACCTCAAGTCTTACAGATATGACTTTAACACTGAGTTTGCTGTTCTGCAGAGTTTAAATAACCATGGCATGGTACTTTGCCAGTGGTAGAACTTGTGTTCTTATTCCTCTAACAATTTTCTTATTATCCCACTTTGTGAAGGTTGAAACGGCACTGTGGCATTGACACCTTAATGAATGTGGGTACTTAACATCAGTTGGACGTTTTTGAAATATAGAAAGTAGAATCTGGCAGCCTTGCATGCAGGGATGGGCATATGTCCAGCTAGTGACATTCCTGCCTCACTGGTGCTACTGTGACTGGTATTAGGATTGATATTCAGTGAGCTGTGGGAATTACTGAAACAACTGGTTTGGATGATACACTCTTGTTTGTAATAACTACCAACAAATATGAAACCCAACGAATGTTTCGTCACTCAACAACAAAATTTGAACCATGGGTATAATCCTAATTTCTCTTCACATACTTGTAGGTATTAGTAATACACAGTGAAATGTCATTTAATTTAATCATCATCATCATCGACTCTATGGCCCTGTGTGGGCCGTGGCCTTCTTCAAAAGCTTCTTCCATTCTTCCTCATCCACAGATGATCTGTTTGCCAGTCCGCCGTGAATGAGTCCATCATAATTGAAATAATTTGAATACCATCATCAGTAAAAACTGTGAAAAGTAATGGATTCTAGGATAATGCTATTCCAAGCAGAATGTTTGTTGTTTTCTGTCTCTGTCAAGGTTTTTTATGTGCTAGTTATTTTTGTTGCTTGTTGTGCCGACTCTTACAGAGTAGACCTGGACAGGTGGACGAAGAAACTGATTCCACAATTCATGTGCATGCTCACAGGTTTGTCAGATTCCAGGTTCATGTCCAAGCATTTCTGATTCTATAGGTCAGTGATTCCTAAATTGTCGTTCTCGGAGGTGCTGCAGATAGGTTTATTTAATGGTTAATTTGAGTGATAATGATGGTCCTGGGTCTCTCTTAAAGTTAACAGATCTTGAATGTGTTATCTGAAAGAAATTCTTCACATGCACGGCCCTGGAAAGCAAGAATTTGGAATGATTTCGGGTGTAGATTTTTTTAGCAAAACAGTTTGAGCCCAAAAAGGCTTTTAATTCTGTAATATGACACTTTACTGATATTTTAAGATTTTATACTCTCCTCTTCAAGAAAACCTTATCAGGGGGACAAAAAACTATTGGGTGTTGGGTTCAAGGTTACTGAAGTACTAGAATTTCTTCTAATTGTTTACTAAAGCTATGATTTCAGGAATGTTCGTATCAAGTTGAAATGCATGGTTCAGAAATGTATTCCTTTTGTGAAATGGCAGTGGCATTAGAATTTCATGAATATTGACAGTAAACAATGCATTTCAGCACTGGATTTTCTATGTACCACGACCATCCTAGTTTCTGTGATCGTAATATTGGTGATTTTGCAGTAAGTAATCCTATATCCGAAACATTTTTCTCGGAAGTCGAAAGTGCGCTAGAGAAATTTATTTTAATTTCCATTATTTTCATATTTTGTACAATTAAAATAAATGATTCAAATTTTTGTGTCGGACTTTTGTTGTATCATCCCGGCAACCCGTTTTGAAACTAAGAGTTTCGCGAGAAAAAATGCTTAGAAACATTGTTGTAGGGGACAGGACGACATTCCTTACAAAAAGCGGCTTGTAAGGTTCGATGCAGGCATGTGATTGGACGCGTTACTGTGTGAGAAATTGCCCAAAATAAACACCCGCTGTCGGGGTGATGAGACAAACTGTCGCTGACAGTGAATTTGTGCCGTTTATTACTGACGTGTGTACGAGCCGAGCCCTTTTGTACACTTTCAGTTTGTTAACAACCTTGCCTGTTTATTTTCATATATCCTGTCCCCGTTTTTAAAATAAATTTTTAGCCGTAGAATAGCTCGTCGATTTAAATTTGCACCGATAATATTCAGAACATATGTTGATAGGATTAACTGAAGACGATGTTATTCTAAAGCGTGTATTTATAGTGAGAAAATAAACGTGAATTTTCAGCAAAATTTTAGGTCGATGAGGTTCACCATCGTCATTCAGTCGGTCAACGATCTTTGATTAGTTATTCATTAATTGTGGATTGTGTTTGTTGTTTCTTAGTCCTTTTAACAACTTGAGATTTACGAGTTGCAACTGTGCTGTCATTCTACAGACCTGTGATTTCTCATACCGGAACGTGGAGCTTAGTCGCTCATAACGTAGTGGCAGATTCGCGCTAGACGTTTTGGTGAAAGGTACAAAAAGGTTGGAAGTTAACAATTTTGTGTTACCAAATGTCGCTCCTACCTTGGGATTTATTTTATTTCGCATATCGCTAACACATTCTGTGACTCATCGAATCCATGGAGTAGAGACATTCTAGAGAAGCTATTAGTCACTTAGCTTGTCAAATCCCTACCCTTTATGGAAAAGGTCCAATACAGTGTTCACAAATGACCGCCACTGGCCCCTATTATAAGGGTTATGAATCCAGTCCATACCTTTACGCTCTGTTTGTACTTTAATATTATTCTTCCATCTACTACTAGGTCGTTCACATGAT